AGAAGTGTCCCCAGCCACAGAACATCTGAAAGTGAGCAGTTTTCTCGACATTGAGGGATGGAACAACCCTTCACAGGACACAGCTGAGGAAAATGGGAAAACTCAAGTCATGTCAACCCTCATAAGGACACTGAGGTAAGAGAGACTGACAATTTTTGTAAAAACAACTTGTGGTTTAATCCCAGAAAAGAATTGTCTTCATGAATATTTTCATTTCAGGGGGCCCGTTTTCCCAGCTGTGGATCATGCTGGAGTACAGTAAAAAAACTTGAAAATGAATGAATGAAAATGAATGTTACAATGACAATAAAGATCATCTGTCTATATCTTACTCACTGGTACTGATAAAATGCTCCTGGTCCTGACAAACAGAAAACACAAAAATCAGTTGCACACATCACCACAATCGACTCCCACCATGCAAACATGACTGCATGCTGATGGTTCCGCTTACTCTGGCCCTCCTTACATTAAATTATGTTTACACAGATCTTACAGTGCAATGTGTAAAAACTAAATCTTGTTTAGCACAGTAGTGAAAGTTTAAGACCTCTGATAATAGGATTTAGGACATTTTAATGCAAATCAAGGCCTTACTTTTGGATTGGTGGATTTAATACCTTTTAGGACTTTCTAGGGATCTACATGTACCATGTATTAGGTATTCATACGTACCGCTGATTGTGAATACTATCCTGATGTGAAACATCCTCTCCCGCAGCCAGTTTGTCAACATCTGTCCATGTGTTCTGCTCCTTGGTCTCCATAAACCCTAAACACAAATAAGGAAGACATTATTCCAGCCTAACAGTTTGCTTCACACAGACCTAAAGCTTTAAAATTCTGTTATAATTCTCTCATAACCGATTTGAAGCTGCATAAAGACCAAATGCACCATAATTTGTCCACTTGGTCACGAGAATTTACATTAGAGTACTCATCAATACTGAATACTTAATGATGCAATGTTTCTACTATTAAAAAAAAAAACAAAAGTGCAGTGTCTTTAGAGACTATTTTTAATTTCATGAGATTTACTTTCTGATAGTGAATAAACTATCCTCTAACAGGAAACTAAACAGCACTGCCACCATTCCTATTGAATAACATGTGACTGCTACACAGCATAGCCTACAGTGGATTTTAACCGTTTTATTAACCGTCTTTACATCATGTATCTGTGATAAACCTACCTAATAGGTTTCTGACAAGCTTTTCAAATTAAGTCGGTTTCAACGGGATGTAAATCTGATCTTCTTATTCAGTCTTAATCGACGAAACATAACCCAACAACACTACATTTGTACTAGAACTACATGAATATCTGTCATCAAACCTCAAGGCTTATCTGTGTCAAATCCTAACAGGATGTTTTCAGAGCAGCAAGGTGACGTGGCATTTAAACAGTGTTTCCTACTTAAAATGTCATTAAGCAAAACTCTCTGCTCCACAGGTGCTCATGTCCTTAAAGGGGGTCACTGGGTGAGGCATGCTGCAAAATCTGCTGGTCTGGATTTACAGTGAAAACAGATAATTCTCCAGGTTCTGAAAACGACTTTTAATTCTTGTGCTAACATTGTTTATTTTACTGTATAATCAAAGCATGAACCTTTGTCCTTAACAAAATGTGCATTTATCAACAGCTGCATTAAAACACCCAGAAAGGTACAAACAAAACCCTGATGTGTACAGCAGACTCGCTGGTGCATACGTCATACAATGAACTACTTTCATTTTATTTTTTTAACCAGTGTTTTACTAGGCAAACTAAGTTCAAACCTTTCTTTTACAATGGTGCCCTGGCAACTTTTCAGTTTACAACAGGAAGAGGGCGCAGTTTCCAAGTTCCCAGAGGTTAAAGGCCACTGGCAAAAAACAAAAACAATACTTGCTCACATACACTCCTTGCTCTGCAATACATGCATTGGAAATCACTAGCACCAATGACATTAAATAGAAGCCAGTGTTATCATCATATCTTACAAGGAGATCACATGAAAACTGTATAATACTCAGGGACAATCTCAGAATACATTGCCTATAAACTATAGTAAAATGCCTAGACAAAGAAATTCCAAATTAATGTTAAAAATCAGAATGGACATATGTAAAAGAGAATCCAAGGCTAGCTCTAGGTGAAGCACTAAAAGTTCACTGAAGACTTTTATAGACAAGTTCATTTCAACTTGTGAGGGGAAGCCTTTGATCCTGAATCCTTTGCCTTACATCGCTGAACAACTCTTACTTGCTTTATTTATTGAACACTGCTGCAGTAATTAATCCTGCTCCATTTGGTCAACACCTACAGTATAGTAACGCAGCACTTGTGCAGTCTGATACAGCCCACTACAAAATAGACAATCCTGCTAGCTCTTCTCTACCAGCTGCCTTTCCCTATTTCCTGCTCTCTAGAACCTCCACTTATCAAGCTAGCCACCTAACTCTGACCCCCAACTCCGACACCCAGCCCCCACCGCAACAAGAACAGAGTAAAGGAGGGTATAGTGTGTCCTGGATATGGGAGGTGGAATGCATGTGCTTAGAGGAGTTGTTGGAGAAAGGCTGGGTGGGGGCAGATAAGGCTGGTGGGTGGAGAGAAAATGGGATGGATGCAGGGAGGGAGGGAAAAAGAGAGCGAGAGAGGGGGCACTGTGGACTGGATCAGATGTAGGGGGAAAGTAGACAGAAGTTTGACATACTTAAGACAAAGACCATAGCAAGTCTGAATTGAGCCATTTACAGCAGCTGAGGAAGGAGCATCTCTGTGCTACTGCATCACAGCAGAACACAAATTTGAGGTTACATGTGGAAAGTAAAACAGACTCTAGGGCATAATCGGCTCCACTGACAGCTCTGGATAGCGAGAAAAGCTGCAACAATCTGGAGGAGGAACAGCAAGACACCCACCAGGCCCCACAACACAACGTAAGTACAAGTGCAGCGGCATCCTTCATAAGGATTTCAATCATATTATGGTTAAATCCAATTACTCTGACATTTTCGTACAGCTGATTACAATGAAAATGAGCTAAAAGATTCTAATTACCTCTGATGTTCAATATAAAGCAACACAGAGGTCTGAGAAACAGAACTAATTATTGCTGCTGCTGCTTTGCTCCAGATAATAAACAAACAGAGCAATAGGAAACCTTTCTTTAGAGTCAAAGCATGATAACACTGTAGGAACTAGCTGTGTGTGTACATTTAGGCATGTACACTATATCAATTTGGTTACTACATACCATCATTTGGCAGCTACATTAACTTAGTTGCACAGTATTCCCTGATCAAGAATTCCTTAAAGCTAAAGTATGGAACTTTTTTCCCAATATTTTTGTTGTAGAAACCTGCCTTAATGTGGAGAGGTGCTATCAAAGCATCTCGTGAGTTTTGTTGCATCCTCATTTACTGTATTTTCATAACGGCAAATATCTGAAGAGCTGGACAAAAGCGTGGTGGAACGTAGTAGAGCACAGTGGAGCAGGGAGGGGGAGCGCTGGGCGGAGCAGAGGGTTGACTGGGAGTTTCATGCTAGTGCTACCTTAAGGTACATACCGTAGCTTTAATTGTGCAGTATTCCCTGATTTAAAACTCCTTAATTTGGGTCAAACAGACATAACCTGTCATTCAAAGAAATGCTACTCAGACAGTAGCAAGAAGTATGAGTAAAATAGGTGGAGCACCTAAATGTATTTTCGGTAAGGGACACAATGAGTCATCTCTCACACACTTTCCTGTGAGGTCTTCCTCTGTGACCTTCCACCTTACAACAACACTTGGGACAACAATGGGAGACTGATATGACAAATCAACACCCTAAAGCACCCAGGACAGCATCATAAATGATGTCTTCCACTGTCACTGCTGATATCCAGTGAGCCTGAAACAGAAGTATGACTTGGTGATTTTTTTTTTTACTTGTATCCATTACATTTCAGCTGTGCACATTTATCCAATAAATAAGCAAACATAGCTTATCACACCAGCAGAGAATATGCTGGCTGACCTCATGCTAGCTGGACTATCTGAGCGGTTAGCTGAAAAACACTCAAGTCTCGACAGGGAGAGAACAGGGGAAATGTAGGATGCACCTTTTAAACAAGACTCTTGTCGACTAACTGAATTAACTGCCTCAACCATTTCAGAAACAGCAGCAACTTTTGTTATTCACACAACATTCACTTTTTATTCAAGTGTGACCATCACACACCACCACCACCACCACCTCTATTGGTCCTTAACCTTCCGCAACAGACTATCACACACATTATGGCAATAAAGTACTTCAGCAGTAATGTAAAAGCAACCATCACTTTGCCGTGCTGGCTAAAAAAGAAAGGCTAAGTCATCCCTAATGGGTTTTTTTTCCATTGCTGTTGGGTTTTTTTTTTTTTTGGCTGGGGCATCACCCTGACCTTTGAGAAGTAAGGATATCCTGCACCAGACACAGCTGCATACCACAACAAAATGAATCAAAGTGAACTTCAAATGAGGACCGGGAATTTAAAACTATGAGTAATTTTTCTGCCAAGACACTTACGATAATATTAAACATGTTTGATTTTATCAGAACTTCAAGACTGACAAAACAGCTCGGATCACCAAGTGATTACAGTTAGCCTTCATCACTTCACTACACAATCCACATACAGGGAAAATATGGGCCAGGTAACTTTTGGCCTATCACCACCTCATAGACATCACACAGGACTACACTGCTAAAAGATAACACCTCAATCCTCTTAGTGCTTTTCCACCAGAGAAACTTGACCTTCAGCTTCCCTTACCCATAATGCATAAAAATGCAAGGGAAAAACCAAATTTACCTGGGTTCAGAAGTACTGTGTAACCCCCCCAGCCAGAGTACTGAACTATTCAATTGTTTTTAAATGTGTTTTCCACCACAACAACATGTTACTGGGCGCTGACCAGCTTCAAAACATCTCCAATGTTAATCCTGTCATGTTTGTTAGCGATTCTCATAAAATGCCTGTTTCCAGCTCACAATGCTGATATATTTACTTTTCTGCCCACAGTTCACCATGAGTATGACTGGTAGTCTAGAGAAGGGGGCCCACCATCAGGTCTTGGACCTGTCTGAGGAGCTGCCGCCTCATCACCACCTTCATCATCATCACACCAATCTCAACCAGAATCTCAACCACTCCAGCTCTCTGGCCTCCACCACCGCTGTGGGTGGAGGCAGAGAAACGCTTTCACGTGTGGTCATACCTCCTCCTTACTCTGCAGCTGAGAGCGGTGGTGGGGGCAGTGAAGGTCCTCTGGAGCTGAGGGGGTCCCTGGACTGCTGGGCCTGCTCGGTGCTGGTGACCGCTCAGAACCTGGTGATTGCCGCGGTCAACGCCTGCCTCGTTGGACTGGTATTCGGGACCATCCTGACACCAGCCACCGTCATGGTGGTGTTTGGCTTCCTGTGCCACTCTACAGTAAGAATGGGGGAGATGGGGGTTATGAGTGTGAGCACTGTATTTTATGATTTTCATTTCAGTGTGGATGCTCTTTTTCAGCAAGGCTCTCCCTCATACTCGTCTAAAACTGTAAGCAGCCACACTGGAGTTGGTTATGTGTTTGCATAACAACATTTTGCATGATTTGTTTGTTCAATTTTTATCTCTGCTCTAAACCTCCTGTGAGACCATGTACTGAATGAGAGCATGCAGACACTTGGTGCAAACCTATGTGCACTGCACACAAACTGGGCACGATTTACATCTAGTTAAAGTATGTAGGACCTAACCGTCCTGCATGTTCACAAGTATTACAGCTTATTCACCCATTAACGTTAGGTCAAATTTATGTTCACAGAAAATACTACCTGGCCATCATTTGTTTATCATCACCAACAAACATATTTAAAACCGGTAAGAGAAAATGTGTTGCATGTTAGTAAAAATAATGTACCACATCTAAATAAAAGAGGATGAAGAGGAGATCGCAACATCCATCTTTGCATGAAAGACTTAAAAGTCCTAATCTCATGTCCTTGATCCTGCTCGGGAGCAAGTTGGTAATTAAAACACACAACAGCCAAAATCTAAAAATGCATGTGACCATTATACCATTATTATCAGCTATAACGACACTCGGAAAAACAGAAGAAATGTCTATTGCAGGTGACTGCGCTAGTTGATTGAGCTGGATTGCAGAGCTAGACTGACATTTTTTGACTGACGTTTACACGCTCACGCGTTTTATTGTTTCGGATTAAGGTAATATACGGGAAACATACTGTGATCTGCATGGAGGGGGGTGTTTGTTTCTGAGATATCCAGAGTCCCACACTGCTGACTTTAATGTCTTTTACAATGGGTGGAGTTTGGTGATATCGGCTTCTGCCATTTTTGGTGCTGCATGTGTGTGTGGCACCCGTCATAGAGTCTGACAAGCAGTCAGGGAAGAAAGGTGCACACACATTGCAATTTTTCTACAATACCAGTAATAAGCAAATGTCTATGGTATGATACTTTTCATACCATGGTACCATGAAACTAGTATATCGCTGCAACCCTAGTCCATAACCATCTCCTTTGTCTTGGCCACTCAGTCAAAACAACTTACTTGACCTATGAGTTAGTAAGCATTATCCTGGACTACACCGAAAATTCATCATGGTTCAAAGGTTTCTAATGCATACCAGTGGCATTTCTATGCCGACGACCTCCTTAATGACCGGAGAGACCAGGATTCTGTGTTCTCCAGCTCGCTCATAATTAGACGTCATGTGACAG